ACCAGCTGCATTCCTTTGCATGCCACAATTTCATCAGTAACACTATTTTCTTAGTCACAAATATGAGCCATAAGATAAGAGTTGGTAAGGATTGGATTCATCAGTCTAACTCTAAAACATTGACTATAATTAAAAAATGTTTTTTATTTTAAATTGTTTGACTCACAAAGAATTATGAAAACAAGGACAGAGAGTTTACATCTACATTCCTCAGTTTCCCCCAGTAATTGCAAATTGAAACTTGGGTCAAATTGATGAAACACCAAGTTTTAGAACTTTTATACCAAAAAGTAGACTCCTACTACCTAAATTTTAAGCTTAAAATTATGTTAGATGCTTCAGGTGGGGCTAAAAGTTGCATCACACAATTATGTAGTATATACCATTATAACTAAATATTTCAGTAGCTCCCACTTGTGAGCTGTGAGCTACCCCCTAGGACTCTGGGAGACCAAGGTGGGAGGATTGTTTGAGGCCAGTTTGAGGCCAGCCTGGGCAACATAGTGAGACCCCATCTCTACAAAAAACAAAAAATTAGTTGGGTGTAGTAAAGTGCACCTGTAGTCCTAGGTACCCCAGAGGCTGAGGCAGGAGGATCCCTTGAGCCCAAGAGTTCCAGGTAGCAGTCAACTATGCTCATGCAACTGCACTCCAGCCTGGGAAACAGAGACCCCATTTCCAAAACCAAAAACACAAACACATACAAAACTAATTGATTAATTTATTAAAAATCATGATCAAATGTCTCCTATATGTATGAGGTCAGACAAATAAGTTCACAAACTCATCCTCAAAAAAGTGCTACATACCTCATTGCTGATTATCACTGGGGTCACCTTCAAGGTACTCCCTTTGGGAAGTTACGAACTGACACCACTGCCTAGTCCACCTTTCGAAGCAGTTTTGGAACTCTTTCTGAAATAGCCATCAGAGCTGTTGTATGAGATCTGATCATTAAGTTCTCTAACTCAACCTAGAAAAAGTACTACATACCTCATTGCTGAATATCACTACAGTCACCAGATAGCCAAGGACAGTACTTCGAAGATGTCTGCCATAGTGATATTCAACAATGAGGTCTGTAGAATTTTGACTAAGTTGAGTTTGTGAGTTTGCGAACTTAATTGTCCAACCTTGTATTTCGTATACTTGAGAGAAAAATGGTCTGTATTGTTATAAGCTAATTAATGGAGCTGGTGAGAGTAGGCGTTGGATAGTTCCCGAGATCTCTGTTGTATATAAAGATTTCCTTATAAACCTGGGTGTATTTCTAGGCTCTGTTCTATGGTTCTGTTTTTCTATCCTCATGCCAATGTTAATAATTACATCAAGTATTATAACTTTGTCATTCTTGAAGTCTGATAGCAATTTTCCTCTACCTTTTAGGAGGTTTCTTAACTATTCATTCTTGATTCACTTATTATTCTGCCTGAATTTTAAGTTTATCAAATAAAAATCCTTTGGGGATTTTAACTGGAATTGTATTTACGGATTGAAGAATGGATATTTTTACTATGTTTCATCTGCCAGGCTGGGCATGGTGGCTCACACCTGTAATCCTAGCACTCTGGGAGGCTGAGGTGTGTTGCTGTAAGGGTGTTGCCCTTAGGGTCTCACGGAAAAGCCATGTCGAGTAGAATAAGCATGCTTATTGAAATTGTGTTTTAAATAAAGGTGACCATCTGCTTGCTCAGGCAAATGGTGAGCTTTCTTTATTCACTGTGGTTTATATAATCAATTTTGCGCTTGCGCACTATACAGCAATGACCTCATTAATAGTCATTACAATCCCTCTGCACATGTGCATTGGATATCAATGACTTCTCTCTGCACATGTGCATTGGACATCAATGACTTCATTAATCCATTTAAACATCTTGTGACCACCTGCCCTGTAAGTAACTCCTCCCTAATAATCTGATAATCCCCCAACCTACACCTTTAAGCATAACCCTTTCAACATGACCCGGTTTAACATAACTTAATGAAGAACATGTCAGTCATTACTTTATTTGTTCTTATGGAACCTTTTATAAGGAATTTTCAGGCTGGACTTCTCAAAAGCCTTTCATGAGCCCAGGTTTCATCTGTGCCATTAGATACCTGTATGCATTGGGTAAATCCCTCTTTTCTTATGGTCTCCAAGCACATTTCCATTCCTGGATCCATCAGTAAGTGACCTTTGTCACTTACCACAGATCAAGAAAGGTTACTGATGGGTATCTGGCCAGTTTTCCAAAAGGCTTTTTTATTGGCCTTATAAAGTCAACCTTAATTCTTTAACGCAGTCTGAACATCTCTGGAAATGCCATTCCAGCCAGAGCTTTGGTCAAGTTAGGACCACAACTAACCGGGTCATATGGGATTCTGCCTCAGTTTCTCACAAGTATGCCTGCACAAAGTCTTTTCACTTCTCTCTCTCAAATGGCTTTTTTGGCCGGAGGCATATAGGCATTTTGCCTATAGAGATGGGTGGATTGCTTGAGCTCAAGGAGTTTGAGACCAGCCTGAGCAAGAGTGAGTCGTCTCTACTAAAAATAGAAAAACTAGCTGGGTGTTGTGGTGGAGGCCTATAGTCCCAGCTACTGAAGAGGCTGAAACAAGAGGATTGCCTGAGCCCAAGAGATTGAGGTTGCTATGAGCTATGACTCCACAGCACTCTACTCAAGGACAACAGTAAGACTTTGTCCCAAAAACAAACAAACAATAACAACAAACCCCAAACAAACAAACCATCAAACCCAATGTTTCATCTTCCTATCCATGATGAACTTGGTACAATTTCTCTCTATGTTTAGCTTTTTTGCTGTTTTTGTGGCACGTTAGTCTCCAGCCTTCTTGGACTATGTTAGGATTTTTCTCAACCATCTATCTTAATTTTGACTGGCTTCCACTGCTGCCTGGAAAATTATTACTTAGCCTAGAAGATTCAGCTCAAATGCTGCCTCCATGCAAAGCCTTCCCCCATTACTGCTGGCAGACTTGGTGGATCCTTCTCCTAAGCCTTCTGCTACCTGGAGTGATTTGTGTATAATTGCCAAGAGCAAATATTGACCCACAGCTAATTATATGTCAAAGCACTCACTGTGTTAAGCATTCCCTGGGCATGAACTCATTTTGATATTCAATATCAAAATTGGTACTATTGTCTCTATTTATGAGAGAGTAAGCTCAGAGAGGGCAATCTGTCTGAGGCACACGGCCAGGATGGGATGGGGCAGGATGGAAACCCAGGCAGTCTAGCCCCAGTGTCCATGCTCTTCCCTTCCCCCTCTGGAGCAGTGGTAGTATCAACTGAGATCATTTACACTCTCGTTCATGAATCCTGGAAAAAAAAGTTTGAGTGCACACCCTAGATCAGCCACTAGAAAAAGTGCTGCCCAGACATAACAGTGACCAACAACAACAACAAAAAAACACACATGAAATCAAAATCACACATCACAATGTATGGTATATTATAGGCAAAATAGCTAAATGAGAGTATTTCCGATGTTCTCACCACAAAAAGATGATAAATATTTGAGATGATGAATATACTCATTAGCCAAATTTCTTCACACTGCAATGTACACGTATATCAAAAAAACACATTGTACCACCCAAATATAGACAATTGCTACTTGTCAATTAAAAAACGAAATAACATTTTATACCAACCCGAAGACTTTAGAAAAGGGAATAAGATTTTAAACTAAATAACATCGATAAATATATAGGTACAGACTGTGCTAAGCTCCCTGGGGAAAGAGGGATAAGCCCAGGATGGTATAAATGAGAATTACTGAAGAGGGAGGGCAGAAGGGAGGCAATTGCAGGAGGGGTTTAGGGGAATGTGTGTCCTTGGACGCTGGTCACAGGAAGAATCATGAACTTGATGCAGAGTGTGTTGACTCCTACTTAGGGTCTGAGACACATCCAGTTGGTGAAAGGTTGGAGATAGGGAAATCTGAGACTCTGGCATCACGGAGGGTTGAAGGCAGAGGGTGCCAGTCACTGAGGAGCAGGCTGTGGTTAAACCACAAGCATGGGTAAGACTCCTCAAAGGAAGCTGCAGAATGAGAAAACAGGCAGACAAAGGTCGAGGGAAGAAGGTAGTAAAGGCGGTGGTGTCTTTGCGTCCTTGTGTCTTGGCTTAGCCGAGAGCATGCTAAAAGGTGCTGCTTGGCTGGCATGCTAAATGAATGGTGAGGACGGGGGATAAATGAACCACTCTCTCATGTACCTTTGGTTATGTCCCTTCCTCTCCAGACCGCTGTCTCTGTAAAATGGCAATAACGACTTGGGTCCGGTGGGCTGCGGCGGAAGCAGGGGCTCGATGCCGCCTCTCCACGCAGAGCACACTGTGGCAGGGGCGGCGACGGCGAGCTGAGCGGTGTCCGCTGGAGGGCGAAAGCCGTCCAGGCTGCGGAGCACAGTGGCTTCCCCTCCCCCGACCGGGTGGGAGAGAGCGGGCGGGGGAAAGGGGTCCTGTACCTAGAGTGGGGCGAAAGCGGCGCGGAAGCCGCGGAGACTGGGGAAGAGAGGACTCCACCTTGAGGGGGGCGCTGAAGACCGGTTCAAGACAGGTGTGGCAGAGGAGGGAGTACAGGGGTGAAAAGGAGAGACAGAATCCTGGGAGAGAGATGAGAGAGACCTAGGGGCCTGGGGCCACTTTCATCGGAAACCCCTCGAGCCCGGGAAATAGGAGGTCGGGACGTGGGACGGGTCTGCATGCCAAAGTTGGCAGAATGAATGAACAAACAGGAAACAGTGCGCCCAGCAGCACCGAGGTGCGCGCCTGTCCACCGCAGCGCAGGAAAAGCTTGCCCTGAGAGTTGGGAGGTGTCAGGGCCCAGGCTGCCCCTAGAGGGCTCGCCCAAATAGCTGGGAGTGCGAAGACGCCTCCCGCAGCCACTGGGTTGGCAGAGTGGGGGCAGGCGCCCCCACCGACCCAGAAGGGTGGCCCCGCCTCGGGGAGGCCCCACCGTGGGGGGCGGAGTTGTCGCCGCCCCTTTTCCAATCCCGGGTGCTGCCCCTTCTTAAGCCCGCGGAGCCTCTAGCTGCCCCTCACTCGACTCTCCCGCCAGTCTCTCTCTCGCACGATGGCCTCGGCGCTGAGCTATGTCTCCAAGTTCAAGTCCTTCGTGATCTTGTTCTTCACCCCGCTCCTGCTGCTGCCACTCATCATTCTGATTCCCGCCAAGGTCAGTTGCATCTCCAGGCAGCCCCGCGGACCCCGGGCGCTCGTTGCCTACTGACGGGCACCGAACTCGGGAGCACTGAGCTGGAATGCACGGATTACCTGGTGGGCACAGCTCTCTGGGGACGCGCGCACTCGGGAACTCGAGGTGCCAGATGGGAGGTGCCTTGCAAAGAGTCCGAGGGGGCATGGCGACCCCGTGGAGCATCGTCCTTGGGGTTCACAGATCCCAGGGCGCAAGAGCTGTCTGGGCAAGCACAGAAACCTTAGTAGTGAGCACACAGACCCCAGCCATAGGCTCAGCCCTGGCTCAGAATTTCCCCCAGTGAATAACCCGCTGTTTCTCCCCCAAATGCCACCGCCTGGGTGCTTGCTTGTCCTCCCTCCCTTCGTCCCTCCTGTCTTTACGAGTAGAGCCTTCAACCTATAAGGGGTTTCTGACGTCAGTCAGGGACCTGCATTAAAAGATCATCAGGCAAGTGGATCCCCAGTGCTGTCTTTGCCACTCTCTGGCCCTCCATTGGGCCCCAGTTTCCCTATTTATGATCCACGTTTCTTTCCAGCCCTGAAACACTTTCAGCTCCAGGTTGAAAGGCAGGCTGGGGTTGGGCAGCTTTGCCTGATGCCTGCTGTGGCTGTGATGGGAGGCGGGACACATTCCCAGAGCTCACGCCTTGGGTGGCACAGCTTGGGGTTGCAGGGAAGCTTCATCCCATGCCCTGGCCTCCTAATACTCCTGGGAGGGAGAGAGAGAATGAATGGCCTTAGCTGCAGGCTGGGGGCAGGGCCAGGCACCTTGGCCCAGGCTCCACTGGTCTGTGCACAGCCAGTTTGGCAGAGGCCCCAGGGCTTTGAAGCCTTTTGTGGCTGCTGGCTGCTCCTTCCTCATTCCCTCTTTTAGCCCTTTCACTCTAGGCCCCAACAGGAAACCTCAGGCTCTCCCCTCTCCTCCCCAGGCAGGTCTGGAACAGAGGAACTCTTCAGGGGATTCTCTGGTGGCAGCTCTGGAGGAGGGAAGGGATGTACTGGGGTGACAGGAAGCCAACCTGCAAGAGAACTGGACTTCCACCACTTGCTGGTGCTTGTGACTTTAGCTGAGTCTCTGTGTTCTCTGGGCCTTGGTGATCTCATCTGTATAATGGCACAAGGTGGTTTGATTCTGACACGTTTGGTATAAAATGGGACTATGTTGGTTTCTAGGTAGAAGAGGAGAGTCTGGGTGGGCTGAGCACAGGCCCTGGATGGTGAAGGACAGCAGATCCAACTGTGGTGTCTTTCTGTTGTCACAACTGTAAGCAGCCATATTTTCCTCTGTACAAAGAGGTAGGAGGCTGTGACTGTCCGTGGGAGGGAGCCAGGAAGGAGAGCTGTGATTTTAGTTCAGCTCCCAGCAAGTGATGTTCCTGGGAATAATTACAGTAGCGTTGCTGACCTTCCTGCTCCGAGAGAGACCCTGCTCCCACCCTGACACACACACGCTCACTCACATACAGGTGGACCGTGACTCAGGATGCACGTGTGGATGCCTGTGTGTGAGTGAGCTGCCCTGGGAGTGAGGCTCAGGAGAGGGCAGGGCAGAGTCTTTCAGGCTGTCTTCACGAACTCTTCCTCCCCCCGGACACCGAGCTCTCCCTCCCACCAGACACCAAGCTTTCCCTCCCACCAGACACCGTGGTCTTCTGTTCTCCCTTTGTGCCTCTATTTTGGTCATCTCTGAGGAGCTCCCTGCCCCCACCCTCCACAGCCACCCCACTGTGCGAGAAAATCCAGAGGGACACAGCAGAGTGGCTGGGAAGCCGTCTGGGACCTTGGCAGCCTGAATGGCATTGTCCCCATCAGGCAGTGACACCCAGGGCACTCAGCCTACTGCCCGTGCTCTGGTCTCCTCATGTCTGTCTTCTTCTTTCCCTCTCTCCACTTTCATTCCTTTTTGGCCTCATCTCCATTCGACTTTTTCTACCCTTTCTTACTGGGTCCTTAAAAAAAAAAATCATTAAAAGAAATGATAAATGTATTGTATTGTTTATTTAAAATGTTAGAAAATTCTTTTTTAAACAAGATTTTAAAGTTTAAAGTAAAAATAAAAATACCCTCAAATCTCATAGCATTAATATTTTGATGGACATTTTTCTAGAAACCAGTCAATTAATCTCTTGGTTCTCTCTCTCCCCCCGACCTCTCTCTCTTTCACACACACTCACACACACTCAGAGTGTGTTTTGCTATAGTTCTCCATTAAGCAAAACATGTTGGGGACACCCTTCCTTGTTGATCATTATATAAATGGTTTTATTTAGTTGTGAACTTATTTGCATGTGCATTTCCTTGGGCACATACTTTTTTTTTTGAGACGGAGC